GCTTTTCTCCAGTTAGTTCTTATTGAGAATCGGGTGCTAACAGGGTGGGCCAGGTGTTCAGGAGAACATATAATACATGACCTAAACCAGGGATCTCCAAACTTGACAACTTTTAAGACTGGAGGACTTCAATTCCCAGAATTCCCTAGCCAGCATGATTGGCTAGGGCAGGGGTCAGCAACCCATGGGTCTGGAGCCACATGTGGCTCTTTCATCCCTCTGCTGCGGCTCCCTGTTGCCAGTCGGCTCCACAATTGATAGGGCTTTTGGTTAGGACAGGTAGAGGAAAAAGGATGCCGTGCTAGGAGGAGACTCTATGGTGTGGGAACTGGACTTCCGGTTGGCTTCCGGTTAGGACCTTTGTGGTTCTTTGAGTATTTAAGTTGCCTGGGCTAAGGAATTCTGGAAAATGAAATCCACAAATCTTAAAAGTTGTCAAGTTCAGAACACTGGCCTGATCTAAAAAGAAGCATAGCCCATTCTTGTGTGCAGAGGGACTATTATCATCCCTATAATGGGAAGCAGTGAACAAACAGCTTTGGCAAACTGGCAATTTAAGGGTATAGGCAGAGTCGATGCTGGGCAGACACACCATTCCTTGATTTATGCATGACACCGCAGTTGAAAACAAAAAACCAGTCCGGTTCTTTTCCTCCCAACCTCTCCAGAAAGGAGTGCCCCTTACCCAATTATATTTGCATCCAAGCTCGGTGCACCCAGGCACCTGAATACCAATTTGCTCAAGCCCACCTCCCAGAGTTATCTCCATTATCTCCTAGGAGTGACAGGATAAGTGCATTATTTATTTATTTTCGTCTGAAATCTCTGATGCGGAGAGCAAAAAAAAAAAAAAAACAACCCAGAAAGGCTCTTTTAGTGTTAGAAGTACAAAAAATACTGGAAAGTTCCTAATGCTGCTCCTACCTCAGGCAACGGCTCTTAACAGCGTCAAGAAAAGGAGTGGGGTTTACTTTCCAAGTATTTCCTAAACGCTGCAAATTCATATCGTGCAAACAGAAGCGGAAATCTCTTTCGGGCTCCACATTTCGGGCGGGGTGAGACTCGTAATACAAACAGGAAAATGAATAAATAAAATACAAACTGTAAAATAAGCATGGAAAAATAGTTTTCAAGTACTTTAAACCCTGAATTCAATGAGGCAGAAGATAACAATGTTAAAGTGACTATATTCGTACCAGCGGCTGACTTTCCCCACCTCCCAACCCTACCCATAACATCTCCATATATATATATATATATGTATATATACAGTCAATGGGTTTTCAGTTCATTGGCAATGATATTGTAATAATTACATCTCTTAAATGTCACCGGGGTATGTGAAAGGGCACCAAGCGTAAAGCTAGAGGTGCCCCTTTCCCCCCCCTTCATTACAAGTTCCACAGAACCGTTTGCCACGCAGCATTTTTAAGAACGCAAATATGCACTTAAGGGCTGCTAACACGCAATGTAGGAAGTAGATGCATTGTATGTCCTGGAGCAAAGGAAAAAAAAAACCACCATGAACAACAAACGAAATACTTTGCTTTAGACATAGAACTTGGTATTGGGGGTGGGGAGGCTGCCCAGAACTTTTGAGATCAAACCACAGCAACAGGCGCATGATTTTATATAGGAAAGGCTAAAATCACACAGGTGAAAGAAACGGAGTGGGGGAAACATTGTCCAAAAATACTGTGCAGGTGACTGCTTGCTAGAGCAGAATATTCCTTCCTTTATTTCTTATTTCATTCCTCAAAGCCCTAACCAGAAAAATGGCAGAAATGTTTCTTGATATTTTTTTCCATATTTCTTGGATGAATTGCAACCCTTGGAGGGTTTGACGAAGCAGTTGTAGGTCTAAAGATATGCAGACATGCCTCTCCCACCTGTGTATCCCCAGGTATCTCCCGAACACACGAGACACCTGTTTGAAAGCTAAGTGTCAAAACATTGCTCTTTAAACTATTCACCTAGCCAGATGTTTTCAGGCTGCTTTTTCATTTGCCTGCAGACAAGCACATATTTCCTTGAGGCACAGATTTAAACCAAGGCCGCAATGCAAAAGCATTCCAGAGTCTCGAGTCAAGAGTCATGACAATACAGCCCAAAGATTTCTGCATTCTACAGGATGCAGTTCCAAAGCTCAAAGCATCTCCACAATTGCAAGAACACAAAACGGCAGTCCTCTAGCAGAGCAAGTCAACTTTCCATTCCTGATTAAAGTGCGTGACCTATGCGACAAAGCAAAAATTTAACTGTTCTTTTTTCTACGGAACCCCTATTGTGGCTTGCACATACAAACGACAATGCTAGGTGTCTGCCCACTCAGAAATTATCCTTCACTGAATTCACAGCAGGCTACTATGCGTGTCCGTTATCCACTCGCAAGAAGTACTGCTGTGTTCAATTGGTTTGTCCCACAGATATGTGCAGAGCAAAACACGTATCTCAGGGAAACTTAAAATCTATTCTAAGTGTGTACAAGATAATCAGCAGCGGTTACCCATTGGTATGAGCTGCTTGTAAAGAAAAGAAAAAACCCCTTCACATCCTACCCTCATGCATTCATTAGGAAAAGATGGAGAGGGTGGGGCACATTTTATAAGTCAAACACACAAAGTAGGATGGTAAGAAACACCTGATTGCAGGTATGTATTCAGAGAAGAAAGTCAGCCTTTGTTTGGCCCAACTTCCATTTCTCGTGGCAATACTTCAACCCCGTTTTTGCAGAGGGCAAAGAGACCAAATTCTACGTTTAGAATTTTATAGAACAGAACGAAAGTTCTTTGCTTATTACAGAATATTTTTCTATGTTCTGAATAATTAGAATTGGAGAGAAAGGAGGGAAGAAAATCCAGGAACCTTTAATATTTCTGTTGCTCACAACCCCCCCCCCTATATTCATAATCAATATTTCTGTTCCTTCAGGATGTTATATGGTTTAAGGTAGGACTGCATTTTCAAAGAAAACCTCCCCGTTCTACTTCTTCAAATAAATCAAACCAAACCAGAGCTGAGGACTCAGTCTAGAACGATAGACAAACATTGAAAATGTAGTCGTGAATGAGCCAGCGAAAGTTTGAAACATCTTAATGAAGAAACTTTATGGTGTTCAAAAGATATATTCTAACAAAAAATATCACCCACATCAAATGGATGCTTTCTTCACTTTTTGCATCCATTAGTGGAGAAAATTGGAAACAATAATTTAAATTGACGTGATAGCGGAGTGGCCTATTCTTCTGAGGATTCGGCTACTTCAGGGGTGGCCTAAGGAAGGTTTGCTCTGAATTCCGACCATCCATCAATGATTCTTCTACTTAGCAACAGGTTTGGCCACTTTCCCTTGCAGAATTGCACTTGAGGTGACATCCAAGTTCTAATCATGGTGCTCGATCCTCCACTATTAAGGACAAAAGATCTCGCCAGCTGTATGACACAAGTTTCTTCAAAGCACAATGGAAAAGATAAAAGAACCACAACGGAACAAGGCAGTTGAGAGAGAGAGGGGGGGGAGGGAGGGAGGGAGGGAAGGAGGGAGGGAGAAGGGGAGGGGAGATGCGACCAAAGAGAAAGGAGAACATGATTTGGAGAACATGATCGGGTCCAAGGGGCTAATGCGTTGCCCAAGCTTTAATGCCATTCATTGATTGGAGTTACAATATTTCCAAACTTCTCCTTAACTTCAGTGACATCTGTTCCCTAATTGTATATTTGCCTTCTCAAGGTGCGCTGCCACAAAATCTGGGCATCCTGTAGGCCATTCCCCATCTGTCAAGGAATAATGGAGTGTATGAAAGAAAACAAAGACGAGAGAATTCTGAATTTAGGATTCCTAGATTAGGAAAAAATCCTCGCAGAAAAAAAATCTTCCTCCATGAGCTTGTTTTTTTCCTATCCCCCCCTTCCGCCCCCCCCAAATCAAATATGTAACAAAATAATCCTAAAATCTAAACCTAAATATACATAAATAAATTGTAGTGTTCTCAAAAATTACTTTAAACGTTCATTAGTGTTATCAAATATGTATCATCCTCTTTTAGGGCTTCACATTTCACTAGTCCACATGATTCTGAAGCTTATACAATGCGAGAAAACGAAGTCGGTGACCTGTAAAGGAATTTGCCAACTGAATGAAAACCGAAGAGACATCTCAGGTGCTTTAAAGGAATGTTAGTGTGCTGCCTTATTTTCACGCCTAGGCAGATAAGGAAAATAGAAGCTGTATTTGCTTTTCCTTTATAGGCTTTTCAACTAATTAAAAAACTAATTAAAAAAACCTAAGAAAAGAGTCACCGGCATCATAAAATACTGTCTATTTCCTGGAATTGCCTAATCTGTTATGGTCATATAAATTAACGTGCAGTCATTACTGAACTAAGCATTCCTAAATAAAGACAAGTATTTCAGGAGATACTTGGAATACCCAACGGGAAAAACAAGTGATGTAGTTTTTCAGTGCCGGCTCTTTAAGAAAGATTAACAAACTAGTCTTTATGAAATCACACACATGGCTTTTGTAAGATAAGACCATTCCTATCCAGCGATGGGATTCCTTTGGGATTCCTTTGAGTAACCTTATGTCAAAATCGGAGGAGACAAGAACCAAACTGGCCATATAAAAACACATTAACGGCTGGTAGCCAAATTCTGCCTTTCAGATTCAAAAGATAAAATCTTCATCAGCATCTATCACCATGGAAACCGCGCAAGAGGACAGGTTCTGCATGGTAGAAGATTCATAAAAGAAGAAACCAACTCAAGGCCTTGCAAAAGAAGAGCCTAAACTTCCAACTCGGGAAGGCGAGGAGGAAGTCCGTGCCAGTTTCCCATAAGGTAGAGAGAGTTACGATGGTTAAGAAAAGCACCGTTCCAGAAAAGCCCAGGTCTCCTTCGGATGAAACTGGATTCCGGGGCCAAAAGAGAAATATTCCCCAGGCTCCTGACCATCCGTCCTGCCCCCCCCCCCCCCGATTTTTATAGGCACAACCTACCAGACTCTTCTTCAGAAGCCCTTTAGAGGAAAAAAAAGCAAAACCGCAAACACCATGCACATTAAGACGCTGCCAAAGTGCATTCTTCCAAAGTGGCCGATAACATCACATCAAGAATGCTCTTCCAAAATCATGGGAGTCCTAATTTATTTTTCTTTATTTTTTTGTGGGTGAACGTATCGCGATTATCGTTTACTCACTCAAAAAGGAAAGAGGGAGTGGGCCATCTCAAAAAAAAATAATAATCTCTTGCCATCATTATGAAGTTACTGGAATTATCTCGCTATGAAACTGCCCGATAAGATTTAATCTGATGTTTTTACCCCATAATTGTAAAATCAGACAGGAAAAAAAAAATTAATAATAATAATAAAAAGACACATAAGAGAGATAGATACCAGGCTGGTGCGGCTTACTCTTTTGTCAGACACACTGATTGTATTAGAACCAGAAATCCTCAAAAAAGTCCATTAAAAATTAAATAAATAAATATTCTTGCTATGTTTCTTTTCTTTTTTTTCTACACGCAGAGAACATACTTTTAAATTCAAGGTCCTTTTGTGTGTTTGTTTTGCAAACCCTTTTCTCCTCTTTTTAGCCAAAAAAAACCAACAAAAACGGATGCCAACTGGCTTCTTCCTGATCTTCCGAGAGACGCGAAAGACACATTCGCAAGGGGGGGGGGGGAGAAACGGATCTAACCAGCTGCGCAGGCTCCTAACTGCCCTTTCCCAGATCCGGCGATCCTAATTCGAGTCCCCTGGAGGCAGCTCTAAAAAGATTTGAGGAGGCTTCCCCTGGCACTGTATCTAGATTCACGAGGATTTGCCACCCAGAACGTGAAACAAGTGTTGGGGAGTTGCGTTTTCGTGAAAAGGGCCTCTTCACTCCTTCGAGGCTTCCTCCGGATTTTGCTGTTCCAGCCGACGCTTGATCTTGCCCCAGTACTCGGGGGCCACGTGGGCCTTGGGGTTGTGTTCAGAGCAGCAAAGGCGTCCGTCCAAGGCTGAGGAGACCAGAGCGCCCTTTTCGTGATCTTTGCAGTAAGAGTGAGGGCAGAACTCGCAAAACGAAGCCGCTGGGTTGCCGCAGATGGCGCACTGGTGCCAGGGGCATTCCCACTTCCCTGCAAAGAAAACAAGAGAGAGATCAGATAGGCATCAGCCCAGGAGTAGGAAGGAAATACCCAGCCCTTTTTCACTGTGCAAACTAGAACTGCTTCATAACACGGTTTGGCTTTGTGAACATAGAACGGAATAGAATAACACAGCTGGAGGGGACCTTGGAGGCCTTCTAGTCCCGTGATGGCAAACGTATGTCATGCAGAGCCCTCTATGCGGGCATACGAGCCGTCGCCCAGATCAGCTTCGCTGCGCATGCACGTGCGCCTCCCGCTGGCCAGCTAATTTTTGGGTCTTTGCAGTGCATGCGCAGGGGATGGGGAATGTGTGGAGGGAGGGTGTCACCCCCCCCCTGGCCCGTTCTTTGGTCCTAGGAGGCTTCAGGGAGGCCTGCTAGGGTCAAAATACGGTGCGGAGGGAGGGGTCACACATGCACGCACACGGGGAAGGGCTAGGGGGAGCGCAGGGGTATGTGTCGCACATGCATTCACAGAGGGTGGGATTCGTGGGGGGGGCATGTTGCACGCACATCACATTATGGGTGTGGGCATACGCGTGCACGCTTTCGGAACACAAGGACAAAAAGTTTAGCCATCACTATTCCAGTCCAATCCCCTGCCTAGGCAGGAAACCCTATACCAGCGATGGCGAACCTTTTTTGGCTCGTGTGCCATACGTGGGGGGAGCACATGGGGGTTGTGTGCGGGATGCCGCACCCATAATGCAATGCACATGCGTGCACTACAAGTACTGTCACATTTTTTGCATGCTTTTTTCATCCTCCCCAGGCTTCAAAGGCTTTATATGACCCTGGGGAGAGCGAAAACAGCCTCCCCCGGAGGCTTCAGGGACCTTCAGGAAGCCTCCATTCCCGAACTTCTGGTTTGCCCATAGGGCCGTTTTTTTGCGCTCCGGAGGCTTCAGGAAAGCTCCTGAAGCCTCCAGAAGGCCTCCTGGGAGGGGGGGGGGCAAGGGGAGAGGGGCTCTTTTTGCCTTCCCCAGGCTCCTATAAAGCCTCTGGAGCCTGGGTATGGCGAAAAATGGCTTTAAAAAAGGGTGAACTCAGCTGACAGGGCAGCGCCTCGCGTGCCCTGATAAATGGCTCCGTGTGCCACCTGTGGCACGCGTGCCATAGGTTCGCCATCCCAGCCCTATACCATTTTAGTCAACTGGTCATCCAATCTCTTCTTAAAGAATTCCAGTGTTGCGGCATTCACAACTTCTGGAGGCAAGCTGTTCCACTAATTAATTGTTCTAACTGTCAGGAAATTCCTCCTCAGTTTTAGGCTGCTTCTCTCCTTGATTAATTTTTGCCCATTGCTTCTTTGGTCTTGTTATATTCGGGTCTCCTCCTGTGTAAGATTGAGATTGTCTTGGCAATGTTTCGGCGAGGTCACTCGCATAAGCATGAAGCTGAAAACACCAGCCTGAAGATGGTGAGTGGGACCTCGCTGAAACGTTGCCAAGACAATCTCAATCTTACATGGGAAAAGATCCGAATACTACAAGCTCTCCTCCCTTATCAGCTAAGCCAAGGAAATAATTAAGTGTTATGTCAAAGCACCTGATATGCCCAAATATGGGAGGAAGCATACTGCCAGCAACTGCCTAACACATAAAAACAAACAACCCAGGTTTGAATCTCAGAATCTCAGTACAACCTGGGTTGTGTGTGTGTGTGTGTGTGTGTGTGTGTGTGTGTGTGTGTGTATATATATATATATGTATGTATGTATGTATGTGTGTGTGTATGTGTATATATATATATATATATATGTATATATATATATATATGTATATATATATATATATGTATATATATATATAT